GGAAAGAGAGGCAGAAAGAGAGGAGATAGCCACAGAGGCTCTCAGTTGCTCCCAAGATACAGGGTTCCCTTTGCAAAGCTTTTCTTGGCTTGCTTAACTCATCATCTGTATCACAGTCCTGCCTAGATGCTGTAGCTGAGATTGAGTTTGAGGCTGCTGAGATTGGAGTTTACAGCCCAAATAGACAAGACGGACAAAGAAAGGACATGATCCCCATTCTCCAGACAGGAGGACTGAGGCAGAGAGAAAATTAGCCATGTACCCCAAGGTTGCAACCAGAGCATGGGGTGATGGGAGTTGAATACATATCACCGGAGTCCTAAGCTACTCCTACTTACAAATCTGTCCCTCCTCCTTCAGACAGAGGTAGCAGGCAGGTAAATATGAGTTAACCATTCAAAAAAACACCACCCTCTTTATCATTCAAGACAGTGTAACGTATATTTTAAAAATCCCCCTGTTTTTAGAGATGAAATCCATGCAAAGCAGTGAGTCACTTGCAGGGCAGTCCCGTAAGGCAGAGCCCAAGACCTCCAGATGTTTCACCACAGCTGGAGAGGGGTGAAGGTCCTCGTGGGCTCAGGTGCTCTTCCTGTGGGGCCCTGCGCTTTGCAAATGGTGAGGGGGAAGCAGGAAAAAAAGATTGTAGAAAGACTTGGAAAAATCCCGTGCCAGCGAGATCTAGAGAAACCCCTTTAGGGCTCTGCTCTGCTCCGCTCCCCACCATGTTTCTGGAGGAGGCTGGTTAGGGAAGCCCTTCTGAATACAGCTGCAGGATTGGTAATTCCCGTATTTCTACGCTTCTCAGAATCGAACGTTACTTGTAAGAAAAGAAACAGAACCTGGAACGAATTACGGGAGGCAAACACACAGTTTTGGGCAGTGCCAGCAGCAAGCGAGGCCTGAAAACAACATTGCTTCTGTTGTTCGGGGTGGGGGGAAACCCAACAGAAAAATCTGCTCTTTGCTAACGGCTACTCCACCAAGCAGCTCGAAAAGCAGTGCCCCGAAAAAGTACAGGGCATTTCAGGACTTTCCTACAATTAATCCAAGATGAAAGACCTTCAAAGATCTTGCAGAGAGGCCTTCCCACAGGTAGTTACCACTGGCTCCCCTACCAAGAGCAAAAGGGTTTCCTAGTGAAGGCAGCAAATTAGGACTCCAGACGCGATATTTAGTTCGCAGCTGCCCTGCAACCTCCCCCAGGGACCCTGACCAGCTCAGAGGACCACTCTGGGCACATCTACATTGCATCCCCTCCCATAAGTCATGTGTCCAGGCATCCCCAGGTGCCACTCTTGAATGCAGCGGTGACTCTGATGCAGATGCACCATCCGGGGCTGCCCTCGGGACTGCGGTCTCCAGTGCATGCATTGCAGTGAAATGTCTCCAGGATTGGGTGTGCACTAAGGGGAAGTGTCCTGCCGTGGACATACCATAGAGAGACCCCTGTTCCTTATGCAAAAAAAGGGCTTTTCCATCAGATTACAAAGCCTTTGTGGCAAGGGGGCCATCTCTTACCATGTACCGCCATGACATCACATGCAGCTGGGCCTCTTTGCATCACTGCAAGGGAAATAACTTACTTATTATGCCCCTTTCCCTTGCACTGGATGGCTCCAGCAAGATCTGCAGCTTGGAAACCCAGGAAAATCATTTGGAAACAGATAGAAACGAAAGACCGATCAGGAGGGAGACTCTCTCTGCGTCTCAAGCACTGACGGGTGAGCACCTTCACGGTGTGCAATGTAATTGTTTCTAAAAAGGCCCTTGGATTTTCACAGCGGGCAAGAAAATTCAAGAGCACGGGTGCTGCTGACACGTCCTTTGGAAACAACACGCCCAGGTCTTGTTTTGCCGATGCCTTTAATTGCTGTTTAACTGTTTGAACATCAGAATTGCTGGAGATTGTTATGGGCTGTTTAAAAAGCACAATGATTCCCTTCATGGAGGACTATGTAGCTACAATTACCCTTCTGTTGCAGCCTGCAGGAGTAATTGAAAGCTCTTTCCCAGCTAATAGGCCGGGAGGCACTTGGATTGCCTCTCCAGCTCCCTGGCAGAAATCGGGGCCGGCACCTGCCGAAATCGAGGAGAGAGGGTACGGCTGTGGGATGCTGCGCGGGAGCAGGGATGGCTCACGGGGCGAAGGGCTTGGTGCTTCCCTCACTTGACCCACGTCCATTAGGGCCAAATGCAGCCTGCGGAGGTGATCTGACCCCAGCTGGGCAGGGGCTGGACCCGATGATCTAGCGAGGTCCCTTCCAGCCCTGATGTCTATGAAATCTATGGATCCTCACAGCTCCCTTGCCCAAGGCAGGTTCAATCCCCAGCTTGGCCATAGGCTGGTGCTGAGCAGTCACTTACTCTCCTCTGAGCCTCAAGTCCCATCTTTAAAGTGGCCGTAACAGCGTGGCCAGACCTCGCAGACATGTTAAAATTGACCCCAAAGGGACCATGAGGGCCTCAACTATGACAGAGCTGGGGACGTATCAAGAAGAAGTCAGGAGACTTGTGTCCCGTGCCTTGCCAAAAAAGGGATGTATTCAACTCAGCTCCCCACCTTCATCCGCAAACACCCAGACTCGTTCACCTATAAAGAGAGCTGCAAGGTTCACCTGTGTTTCTGCTCGGGGAGTGGATGCAGGGCAAGGTAGCAGTGGACTTCACGGGACGGTTAATTAGTTTGTCGCGTCGTGTCGTGTCTGCATTGAGCCGGCAGATGGTACGATTTGATCTTGGAGCAACCGATGGGCCGGTGCAGTAGTCAGCATGTTTCTGAAGGACTGTTGAGGGCACTAGAGCACTGAATGGGCACTGAGCAAAGGAGCCTGCACAGCTAAATTATTTGACTTGCAAACAATATTCAGTATAATAGGAAATTAGCAGAGAGAAAGGAACACAAAAGGAGATGCCCCGCGCACCTCCATGGCTTTCATATTCACTACTTTTGCTTCCTTTTCTTCCCCTGGCTCTCTGTGTTATGTTCTCTCTCTCCCATTTCTTCAGCTCAGTGACTTATTCCGACTCACTCCCACCCTGCGCGTATAAATATGCAGCGGAGGAACTGAATCAAAAGAGGCCATTTGCGTTTGGTTTATTCAGTAGCGACTGCTGCCATTATTTTTATCTGCCCGTCTCCTTCTCTTTGTACAGATGTCAATCAGCCCACAGATGTTCAATAGCAGTAATGAAAATTGCATACAGGAGTAAGGTGTGCTGTTATTGTATTAGCTAGTGTGACCCATTCTTGTATGCTCTCCAATGAAAGAACTGTCATTTGCAGTGGCTTTGCCTGACTGATCTCTCTATCATTTGGTGTAATTATGGGTAACTGTTTTCTGGTAGAATAGAGGGGTGTAGAGAATTTTCAAGCATCCGCTTTCGATTGTGCAGTCCCATTACCATAGCTCTGAAAAGATTGTCATCTGGATGGGAAAAGCCATTGAGGCGGCTGAATAACCTGTGGAATGTGAATGCAATCAGGCGTGTGAAAGGTACAGCTGACATCTGCAATCAGCTTGGAGGGCAGAGGCTGCCTATCAGTAATATAAATGACAGACGGTTCTTGAATGTCCACTGGGCTTACAACACCGTCCGATGCATCTGGGACTTAGCATCTCCCTGTAGGAGAGAGGACCTGATTAATCCATAGCTTACAGCTATTGACCTGTAACACAGGAACCAACCTGGAAACTGTCTCTTGCAATGATATGATCTCTTTTGCCCAATGTGTGTCAGACCTTTGATAAAAAGGACCACTACCTGACACACAATTGACTTGGAGGGACTCATTGCCACACGTTTCTAGAGATGTGGAAAGTTTAGCATGGTTTTAAGAAAAGGGAGTGGGTGTTTGTTACAAATTCCACAGATATGCTAGAAATAAAAACAGATGAAGAGTATGAGTCCCAGGGATTGAGAGCAGTGCCAACTGTGCTAAGGGTTAGGGAGTGTCCTACAATGGACGGCACACTATCTAACTAACCAGCAGTGATCCTTCTCTTGACACATCTGGCAATGTCCCTTGACAGGAAAGTCATCAGCCGGTCCAGACCCCTGGTCTAACGCAGCCTGATAACTCCTCTGCAAGATCAGCTGGTAGGCACACAGCTGCACGTAGTGCACGTAAGCAAGCCGCCTTTGCATACATTACCCAGATATTGCAGGCAGTTACTGGTTAGTGCAAGGGGCTTGGACTCAGGACTCCTATTCCTTTGAGTAATTAGCATACTTTACCTCCCTTTCCCCACCACAATTAGCCGACTACTTACCCAACTTAAGCAGCGGTCAGAACATGTGCATTGTTTTTGAGCCCCTCCATATGATGAGGGTGTAGACCTATGCAGGCTTTCACTCGAAACTATGCACAGGTTCACAGTTCTGGGTAAAAGACAGATTTGCATCCGTGTTTTCTATTCCACACACTAACAGCAACCCCGGGACACCTGCTGGGAGGACTCCTTTGAAGTGGCTCTTTTCTGCTGGCAAGTGTGAGGGATCTCAGAGGCACCGCAGAGCCAGAGGGAGCCTTCTCAGCTCATTTGCTAGAGAGTGACTCTAGCGTTTCAGCATAACTTTGCTCCCCCGTGCAGATTCCTGCAGGACATTAGTGAGGGGGTTTTTTCTGACTTTGCAAAGGAGGAGTTGCACATGGCTTCTGTCAAGCTGCCTTCAGAAAACCAACACCCAGTCAACAGAGAATCCCATAAGCAGGTGCATTTCAAGTAGCCCCAGAGGACACCGCGTTCGCAGTGGTCCAGCTCTCAGGCAGGTGTCCGTCCTACAACCTAGGAGGCAGGTGGTCAGCAAGAGGAGGGCTGGAGCCCAGCTCCCAGCTCTAACCCTGCTTACCATCATGAAATCTCTGCGGCACCTGCACGATGCACCTGCAGAACAGCCAGCAGTAGGAAACCGTGATGATACTATCACCCTTCTCACAACCAGCGATCAGCTCCAACGAGTGCAACACACACACCCTCCAGGGCACTGAAACCCATTTTAAAATATGTGTAGTGGTTAATATATTTGCTCACATTTTTTCCACCTTAACATGGCCAGGTATTTTTTCCATGATGGCAGTTCCAAACTTCACCCTGCCTGGGTAATGGCATGCCTGGTGGCATTGCCATCTTCATCTCTGTCTTTCTAGCTGCAGTTTAGATAGTCACTCATAGGCTCTCTGCTATGCGACTGCTCCACTTCACAGCTGCAGAGAGGAGAGAGGGGAAAAGGAAAAGGAAAGTCATCTAATAACAGCAGGGAGTATGCATTTTTACTTCCTGCTGCTGACTTCCTCTTCCTATTAGGTGGCCTGATAAAACAACCTGGTCTCAGTCATCCACCTAGTGACCACTCACAGTGGCATGACACTTTTGAGGGAAATCCGTGTATTTAAACGTGAAGATGAAGGGAAGCTGGGGGAGTTTTCTCTGCCTTAGTTGTGGCAAAGGAAGACTTCCCTCTTCAGAGCCACCAGCCAGTCCTGTTACTGAACAAGACAAGTCATAAATTTGAGGGGGGAAAATTGATGACATTTGAAGAAGAGCTCAGGTCCCTCTTGGCAGCCGGAGGCCATGGGCCAGCTTCCTTTTTTTCCAAGTCATTCTTCACTAAAAAGGCTACCACAGGGACCAGGAGCAAGGGGATGAGAACTCAGGCTGGAATAAGGTAGAGACTATTTAGACAAGTTAGGTAGTTTGAAAGTGGCTGAGCCTGATGGGACTCATCCTAAAGCACTTTGCTTCAGCTAGTTTGCTATCTCAGAGCCATTAGCAATTATATCTGAGAACTGGTGGAGGAGATAGCGCCTCTCTTTACAAAGGAGAAAAGGAGGAACAAGCCAGCTATATCTCAGTTCCTCCATGGACACTGAAACAGATACTCGATCCATTTGCAAGCACCTAGAAGATAACAAGGTGGTAAATAACAGCCAAGATGGATTTGTCAAGCATAAATCGTGTCAAGGCAGCCTGCTTTCCTCTTTGTCAGGGTAACGGGCCTGGTGGATAGGAGAGAAGCCGTTCGGATGCACCTTGGCTTTGGGGAGGCTTTTGATACCGTCTCATATGACATTCTCACAACCAAGTTAGGGAAAGGTGTTTTTGGTGCAACTGCTGTAGGGGAAATATGTGCAGAACCACTTGGAAAACCCTGCTCGATGTGCTGTTTTCTACGGCCCGCTGGAATAACGCACCGAAGCGGAGGAGCGCTGGGGAAGGTCCTGGGCTGGCGCTTTGCACGAACGAGTCAGACGGACTAGAGAGCACGCTTACAAACCCTGCAGACGGCAGCAAGCTGAGAGGGGTTGCAGGCACTGCAGAGGACAGAGTAAGCATCCAAAATGATTGTGACAAATTGGAGAAACGGCATGAACAAACAGCCTGTAATTCAATAAGGACAAGAGCAAAGTACTACAGTGCACTAGGACAAAAATCGACCGCAGAGTGACTGGCAAGGTAGCAGTGCTGCACAAAAGGATCCAAACTGGATTGTCGATCGCTGACTGATGAAGAGTGAAAAAGGCATACAACATTGGAAAAAGCAAGCGCTATCCTGGGAGGAGTAAGCAGTATTTTCTTCCATGAAGACCCGTGAAGAAATCCTTCTGTTCTGCTCAGCACGGGCAGGATCGCAGCTTGGAGCGCTCTCCTGTGCTGGACCCACAGTTCAAACACTACGTGAGCCAACAGGAAAGAGTCCGGAGAACAGTGCAAAGGATGTGAGGTCTAGAAAACATGACCCATGAATAATGATTGCAAAAGAGGCGGTTTGTTTGGCCTAGAAACGATGGGATGGGGACAGGGCGACGGCTTTCCAACTTGTAAAATGCTGCTGCAGAGAGGAAGGAAGTAAATTCTTCTCCGGCAACTCGGGATAGGACAAGAAGTAATGGGCTTAAACTGCAGCAAGGAAGATTTAGGGTCAGCATTAGGGGAAGTTTGTAACTGTGATGGGAGGCAAACTGAGTACTTAGGGAGATGTGGGATCTCCAGCCTGGCTGGTTTTTGAGAGGTTAGCTTCTCCTTCTCCCCGCCGCCACAATCTAGGGCCTGCTGGCAAGCTAAAAGACACGACCTTCTGCCATTGCTCCTGCTTATTTATGTGACCAGCTTTGGAGACCCCTGTCCCCTTTGAGGTCTATGAGTGACTCTCCTCCTGCCTCATTAAGAGTCTGAAAACCTTTCCCTGCCATGTGGGAGCTGGGAATGGGAGCAGGGGTTTCCCATTTGGGGAGCAACGTCAGAACCCCCCTCCACGTCTGCTCTGCATGCTCTGAGCTCTTGGGATGGGGGCAGCCATCCCCTGCTCTGTGTCCTACTGCAGGTGTGGGGAAGCCCAGCCCAACTGCATGGAGGTGGGATCAGGCTCGGTGGGAGATTGCATCCAGCTGGACCCCCAGAATGGCCGGTGGGGCTCTGCATCCCTTTTAAATAGGCTCGCACGCAACTTGAAAATGGCACTTCATTCAATCATAAAGTGAAGGAACCCCTACCATAACCAGCGTTTCCCAAGTCCCGAAGCAGTAGCTCCTACCTTGCTATTTGATGCACCCGTCTGGCCCCCGCGACCACAGCATCTCAGTGCATTTCTCCTAACGTCCTTCCAAGGTGAGGAGGTATTAAGATCCCCATTATATGGGCAAGGACTGAAGCTCAGACAGATGAAGAGAGTGCTGCCCTAAAGCAGGACTCTGAAGCCTGGTCTCTCAGGTCCCAGCTCACCCCATCTCTCAGCGCAGCTCTTTACAGTTGAAGCTGGAAAGCTTCCAAAATACAAACCAGTGCACTTGCACATTATTAGTAAAAGCAAAGATATGTGATGAAGTTCAAATTCCAGGAAAGGCAATGAGCTCCAGGAACCTGCCGGCTGACACTGGCATCCTTCCTTCCTCAGCTATCCATGTCCACGCTGGGGGTAAAGAGAGACCGCAAGTACTGTTGTACCACATGTGTCTGGTACAGATAACCCGCAGGGACGGTGTCTGGCTTAAATCAAGAGACTGATTTACTCCGGCTGAACTCTCCATCGTTTGCTGTGTGGCTTGGTAAATGATAACAAATGCTTTTTTTCCAGTACCGCGAGTCACCCCTTTTCCTATGAAAGGTCTGATCCCAGGAAGGGGAATGATTTGAGTGGGGATTGGTTGTAATTTTTGGAGTTTTATTCAGGTGAAAAATGACTTCTTCTGAAAATGAAAATACTATGAAAAATCAATTGTTTAGCCTATTTTCACAAAAGGATAAAATTTGCTTTTTCTCCCCCCCCCCCCCCCCCTGCCCCATTTTTGTTTCTCAGGAGCAAAATGAGAAAGGTAGGAGGGAGAAATAAAGCAAAACAACAAGAACAAAAAAGCCTGGTAACTTGCTTTAAAAAAAAAAAAAAAGCAACCAACCCCACAGTTTGACAATTTTTCTTGGCTTTTTTGGGCTCACTCTTGAGCTGCCTTTGACTTCAGCAGTGCTCTGCATAAGTGTATGGAGGGGTTTCCAAGATCGGGCTGTTCATGTGCAGGTGCCCGGCACACGTGGATAGTCAATGCCGTGCACAGGTCTAGGTAAACCAAAGGAGATCCAATGAGAAAAACGTGGAGAAGACTAAGTGAGCCACCTGGGAAATTAAGCCAAAGTGGAAGTCCGGAGAGAACAGGGTTATAATTCCCTTTTTGAATGAGTAACTATTTAGAATTTAACCAGGCGAACACGATTAAACTAAATGAATATAAATTCTAGGTGCGGTAATAAGTAATGAACTGGAGGAAATGAACAGAGTAGAATTAACAAGAAAATAGTATGTGCCATAATCCATCAAAACCCAATGAAAAATGAAGGCAGAACATGCCCTCACTTCAAAATGGTTTTCCCCTGTGGAAAAGATCCTTCTTCATATTCTGAACCACCCCAGGGATTAACTTTCCTGAAAAGAACTGTACCTCCTATTTCATTAAATAAATGCAGAGAGGGGGAAGTGTTTCTGCAAAGGGCCAGGGAAATCTAAATTGGTTCAGGAGAGCTGCACGCTCACAGCTCTGCCCAAACAGAACACTAAAAATACCATATTTGCCTTAAAGTGCAACGCAGCTGTTTGAAGCAAGAATACAAAGCAGCATTTCCTCATTAGTGTCACTGCACAAGGCAATATTCAGAATGGCGGAGGCCATCAAAGGGAATATTGCCGCCATAAAATGGAATGAAGAAGTGAAACGCTCCCTCTGCTTGACAATTTTAGTGATGCTGCTTTTCTTTTCCTGCAAGGTTCTCCGGCTCCAGCTCCACCTATGCTAGAGAAATGAACTGCTGGTGACCGAACTGGTGGGACACCACTGACGCTGGAAGTGTCTTGACACTAGTCAGGTGTGCCACGCTTACATCCCAGAGCAAGTTAAGCACATGTGCAAGAGTTTGCTGGATCAAGCCTTTATGATGTGCTTTGCCACTGCAGTGGTACGAAAGAGCACTAACTTTTCAATGCAATAACTTACAGGAGATTTTTTTTTAAGGACTCAGCAAAGCCCAAGGGAGAAGGGGTTTTGTAATCATCTGGTTAACTCACCTAATTCCCCAGAAACCGGTGCCTTTTTCCAAGAGAGCAGGGTAAGCATTGAGCCCATTGAGTTGTGCTTTTCTATTATTGTCACAAAATTTTCAAGTGTTTTACTATGAGATGCAACTCTCTTGCCCAGAAAAAATGTTGTCAAAATAAAGAGCGTCAACAATGTTGGAGACTGAGCCAGACTCTAGAACGATCTGCTGAAAGAAGACATTCAGATGCAAGTAGAAAAAGATGCGCACGAAACAATGAATCTGCGGACTGAGCTACACGAAGAAGGTGATTGGACTTTCAGCGACATCAAGAGAGCCGTGCAGATGAGACCCAAGAGGAGGCTACGGTGCAAAGACAATTAGATGCACGGCGCCATCAAGAACGCTGTACTAATGAATTGCAAAAGGAGGCCGCTGTGAGAAGACAATTAAATACACACCATAATAAAGACAGTCATGCAAATGAGTCCCAAGACCATTCCACTGTGAGAAGACAATTAGATGCGCAACACCATCAAGGAAGTTGTGCACATGAGTCTGAAGAAGCAGGCACTACGAGAGGACAATTAGATGCCAGATAACATCAAGATAGCTGGGCACATGAATCGCAAGAGGAGGCCACTGTGAGAAGACAAATACATGACATAATTGTCATATTGAATGAAATGGTTTGAATGTTTGTGATGGTTGCCCATTAGCCAGTTTCAGGAAGAAGATAAGATTTATCTTCTTATCTAAGTCATTGTTTTTGGACTACATGCAAAAGGTCCTGACTTTGTTTAAAGTCTTAATTTGAATTTTATCTTTAGAAGTCTTTTACAAAGAGAGCAAATATCCTGAGTTCCGAGAGATCAAACCCTAAGGCCTTTTGACCAGATTGGTAAGAAAAGGTCACCTACAGTGATATGGAAGTTTCCCAAAGGTAATTTAAAATGCTCAACAAAGGAAACTAATTACTAAGCAAAAGAATCTGTTGAGTAAGATCCGAGCCCAAATTTGGGGGTAATGACAGGTTTGAGTAGGAGAAGCCCATTGACGGCAGCTCACTCAATAAAAACTGTAGCTTACTGTCCCAATTTGGAGGTGACTTCACTTGCAGAACAACGAAGGAAGAATCGCAAGTGTAGGCCGGATCAGATTGATCACCTGAACCACCCTCTCCGTGAACACGAATCTCTTAGTTCACGCTGAAGCCGCGGAGCACCTGAAAGGGACTGAAGGAAGGGGACTTAGTCCTATCACTGCTGAGCCCAGCTCATTGAATCGTATTGCTGAGGCCAGCCTATTGAACTGTACTACTGAGGCGAGCCCATTGAACTGTACTACTGAGGCCAACCCATTAAATTGTACTACTGAGGAATGAAACCATATTTTGGTATTTGGCTTCTCGGAATTCTAGGATTGTAAGTATATTATGAAAAATAATAGTATTGATTCAAATTTAACTTTTAGTTGTAATTGTAGTTGTTTT